CCAACCTCGCGTGTTCTACGACTGTCGTCTCACTACACACCGGTTCTTCTCTAGAAGTTACTTGTTAAAGTGTAATCGTTCCGTACTCTCAAGTATTTCTCTGACACGTTTTCCCAGGACGGTCGGCCGCACCGCCATGAACGAGCGCTCGTCACGCAGCCACTGCGTGTTCACGCTGCGCATCGCGGGTAGCAACGAGACGACGGAGCAGACCGTCAACGGCGTGCTCAACCTCATCGACCTCGCCGGCAGCGAGCGCCTCTCGCGCAGCGGGGCCACCGGCGACCGCCTCAAGGAAACCCAGGTGGGTTAGCGCTGACCTAATAAGAATTGCTTCGAGGATGGATCACAGATGGTCTGGCATTTGGGCTATGGTAGCCCGTTCCAAAGGAGTCCGCAGGCTTCATGATGCGGCGCAGATGACTGTGAAAAGATTAGAGGGATCGTTGTGAAGGCGTCCTAGTTTCCCCCCATAGCTTAGAGAGGAAGGAAACAAAAAGTTCGACGTGCGATCTGCTGAATGCCGGTCGAGGAGGCCGATGTTGCGACCGTTCCTAGTTTGGCAGATAGCGAGGGCTCCGAAGAGTCTCAGCTGATGAACCCAATGATCAGACCGCGCTTGTGTAAATAACGGGTGCGTCACTGAGTCCAACAATCCGGACTGGGTTGAGGCCTCAATTCAGATTGTCGTTTTGTCTAGAGGTCTCTTTTTTGAACGCTGTCGGCCTCATCACTAAGAGCCTCCTGAAGCCGCTTCAAAACGCTCGTCCTCCTCACATGCTACAAACAGCTCTGAAGCGACAACCCTCCTCACCTTCCCTCCTCAGGCCATCAACAAGAGCCTCAGCTGCCTGGGTGACGTCATCTCCGCGATCGCGAACCGCGACGCGCACGTGCCGTACCGCAACTCCAAGCTGACGTACCTGCTGCAGCCGTGCCTCGGGGGCGACTCCAAGACGCTCATGTTCGTCAACATTGCGCCCGACCGGAGCTCCTTCAACGAGTCGCTGTGCTCGCTGCGCTTTGCCGCAAAGGTCAACTCGTGCGAGATCGGGGTGCCGAGGCGGCAGGCCCGGGTGAAGGACGCTTCCGGGCAGTGACTTGCCGCTGAGGGATGGGGCTGAATGTGACCAGGCTGAGGATAGTCGAGATGCGTTTAGAGCTGATGCAAGTTTGAAAGTGCATCTACTCTTGGTCGTGCGGTGAGGAGATCTTAGAGAGCGCGTTCAATGTTTGACAGGAAGTCTGTAGTAAGGGGTGCTCGAGAGGGTTCTTGCTGAGAAAGGCAACCAGACCTATGCGGGCTCGAGGAACGACATGGAAAGTCCTAAAGGAAATTTGTTGTTCTTGAACCGAATCGTACAACGAAAAGTCCTTTGAATGACTTGCATCAGCTTCCTGTTAGCCGTGATGCAAATGTATCCACCAAATCCGGTATCAGAAGGTGCCAGGCTTGTTAAATTAGACCGTGCCACAAACATGTAGTGCATGGCGTTTGCGACCGAGTTATGATCGTGTCGCCACGCCGGCACTAACACCACTCCGTGCGACCGGGCCGAGATCTCGATCATGATTGAGATGCAAATACATATGATTAAGCTTCTGCTGTAGGAGCAGCATGCGAACAACAAATGCACCAGTCGATCCTTGATTAAGAACTCGATTTTAGACTCACTGCTGATTCAGTTTAAATATGCAGCTTTACGGCATGCAACTAGCCTTTGGCCAGATGATCGGGCGGCCAGCTACTGCATGCATCCACAAGCCTTGAATTAAGGCTTCTGGTCAGTCTCACCATGCATGACGGGTAAAATATAAGACAGGTTAATTTCGGCTTACTTCGATCAGCAACGCGCGGCGTGGCAGGCTTATATACAATCTTCGAGGCGGCATTGCAGCATTGAACCGTACCCGGTCGGTCATGCAAGGTACGTCGCCTCAGGAGGTGACGCCTCACAACGTTATTGGACTTCATGTCAGCAGTGAGCTAGATTTGCAGGTCATAAACGCGCTAGCAAGTTGCCAGCCGGCCTTCCCAGAAGCACACGTACAGTCCTCGGCCCGGCGATCCGATCCGCCTCAAAGGGGACGTGTTGCACGGCGGCCGCCATTGCGCCATCAGCCGCGTTGGCGCGCACCGTCCGCTTGGTTTCTTGTAAGGGTTTAGGATCGCGCAGATATTCGGGGCGAGTTCTGCGCGATGATATCCACATATCGCAGCCGTCGGCTCAGGATCTAGCGAGAGCAGGCACCCAAGATGACAGATCAATATGCGCGCATGCAGTTCCAACCGCGCGCAATCCTCTGGCCGCCCAGTGTCGTGACGCATCCGGGGCGCGGCCGCGAGCCTGTGACTTTGACGGGTTTCGAGTGCTGAGCTTATTCCCCGCCTCCGTGGGAGCTATATGGAACTGCTGAGCTGCATTCAGCGGCGCTGCAAAAGTCGACTCTCTGCAAAACTTGCGTTGCTTTCTTGCTCTGCAAGACGTCCGTTCGACCAATTCCCCAGCGCACAGCGTCGTCAGGGTTCCGCAGCTTGCTGCTTCGACTTCCAGGAACGATGGAATACTCACAGATTGGATTCAGGAGGGCGCCCTTGTCTAAGGAGGTAGGTTGTAGTCAGCACTTCTGCTGTTTGTGATGAATCGACGATATTCATAACCAATACGAATACCCGCTTTGTCCTAGTTTTGGCACAGATTGTTCTGGTTACTTATTCCTGGTCAACAAGGACCCTTCTGTACTTGCTTGCCTAGCTAGCCTCTCGTGTTCCTCAACGTTCATTTTCATATGATCCATGTCAACTGCCATTATCCATGTCACAGCTAGTGAAGAGAGTCAACTTCTTCCCGCATAGAGGACTCCTTACTCTGACAGTCCTCCCCTCCTCTTCCCCTCCATTCAGTAACCCCTGTCCAATACCTCCCCTCCTCACATCTTATAGGCATCTCTAGACTGGGAATTCCGTCCAGAGTCATGTCAGGCCGAGGCGTCAGGGTGATCAGCTCGATAGCCATGAAAAAGCGACAGGTTTGAAGGAAGGGTGAGAAAGGCTGTTCAAAGCAGCCATGATCTGGCGGCTTTCATTTTGTTGTGGTTTTCGAGTGTCTCATGCTTCGCTCTTCTTGCTAGGCTTTCCATGTAGAAACTCAGGTACCCCTGTAAATGGGGGCCATAATCTGAATAAACCGTTTCAGAACAGATCGTTGCCCTCTTCGTTACGCTCGCTGTCACGTCCCTGCTCCTTTCCAGCCTGTGAACATTCTGATGAGGTGTTCTCCTCTGTGACGTTCAAATGGCGCATTGGAAAACCATTTTACTCCAAAGGATCATTGCTCTGCAAAGTTCTGCAGTCCAATTATCATAATTGGAGCATACAATTTGATATCAGTCTAACCATTATCCCTGTCCCCCGATCGAACCCCTATTTAGGCGGTCAGGAGTTGATGCAATGGAAGCCGGTGTCAAAATCCCGCCACTCCCATTATAAATGCAGGCGCAGCAGCGTCTCCTGCGCGACTGGAAGGAGGTGCACAGAACGAGCCGATTCACACCGTCAAGGCGAAGCCTCTGGAGAACGACATCAGGTAACCTAGGCCTCGTTTTCTTGACACTGGTCCTGCGGCAAGCTGATGTTTTGGAAGAAGACTCGGTATACGAAAGGGCGGAAGGAAAGGAGCCTTCATATTCCTCCTTCCTTTTCTCTTGGCTGCGATTCACACAAACGTTTAAGGAACGCGTTAAACCCAGTTTGCAACCTCGTTTGCACAGCAGGATCTTCGAAGTTTTGACTTTGAGACAAAGCAAAGCCCAAGAGGAACCGTCCGGTATAGCAGCTTGAGCTTATAATCTACATAAACCTTCCGCAGCGAATGGCACTGCACCCTGCTGCCGAACGAGGGCCCGTACCAGGGAATCCCTTTCCACCTCATCCTGACGTTTCCGTCCGACTACCCGAACCGGCCTCCATGCGTCCGCCTCTGCTCCTGCCTGACCCACCCGGTGAGTAACGCTAAGGCGTATGTACGTCCAAGCGTCTCTTCCCTTCAGCGTCCACAAGAAGAATTGCGTCCTGTTCAACCACCGAGTGGGCGAGTGAGAGCAGAATGTTCTAAACAGACCAGCTCATCACACACCAGAACAAGCTGCCGCGAATGCTATCTCCGGACACATTTGACAACCGTCCGAGCGTGTCTTGGACCAAATTTTGATCGCTCATATGTGGAAACGGGCTTGTATGATGGTACATATCGGTCAAGGAGTGTTTGCTGAATGCAAGACTTCAGGTTACTTTCAACTGGATCAGCAGGTCTTGAAGCGAAGCGTTTCCCCTTGCGTTGCAGAACGTCAGCTGCGGGGGGTATATCTGCTTGGACATGATCAAGGAACCCAAGTTCTATGCTGGGCCATACCAAGGTGAGTCGAAACCAGACGAGAAAAGAATGGTCCATTCATATATACGATCTTCGTACAGTTCTCGAAAAGTTTGCTTATGGAAAGCGAGTTGCATTGTTCTTTGATTAAGGATTACAGTAACGATCAGTGTGACGTCATCGCGGCGTCTCTCAGTGAATCTGAAGGCTAGCTGGACCGAAATCAAGGGGACTTTTTGACGGCCCGTTTCAGGTTTTAAGTGCGAGAAGGAAAGAGATGCTTGAACGGAGTTCTGCAGAAGGGTCATGTTCCCAGAATCTGAGAAGCTCTTACGATCTGAATAAAAGTGTGAAAGGGAAGGTTTTGATGCTATGATCAACATTCGTCAAACAAAGCGGTCAAAAAACAGCGCCACTCGGTCTTTTTCTAAGTCCGAGCTCATCTTCCAACCGCCCACGTGTCGCTAGCAGGTTGGTCGACGGCGTACAGCGTTCAGAGCATCCTGCTGCAGCTTCAGAGCTTCCTCTTCGCCGAAAACGTTCCTCAGGTTAGCTCTCTCAATATTGTGGTCTACAAACGGGGGTGTTTTTCCAGACCTCAGGTCGCCAATCGGGTCAGTCTCGCGTTTCCTTCCATCAGCTGATGTCCTCTGTCAGAACGTACACACGTCCAGCCGGAGGAAGTCATGAAAATGGTTTCTGAATGTTGAGCAGTGTTCCCAGATTGGCGCGTTACTTTCACTTTTGGTTCAATGAAAACTGAGATACGTGACAGAGCATGTACTATGCAGACGGAGCACGAGAAATGCCTTCGATGGAAACTTTCGTGCCTGCTTGCTCCGCGCCCTTAGAAATGGTTCTGGAATTGGTGGGGCCGCCTGTGCCGCCCGGAACCGGAAGAAATCAACAGGATTTCAGTGGTGTCGTTAAAGCAGTTGAAGAAAGAATTAGAGCGAGCAATGTGCGGAAACGCCGTGTTTATCTATGGACAAAACACCGAGAGAATTGAACACTGCTGAGAAGAGCCAGCTCTTGGTGCTCGAAACCAGCCACTTCAAGGTTAGGGTTTTGTAGTAGTTGTTACAAACGGCTGTCCTCAAATCCGCAGGAAAGTCACGGCTCTAAGGCGTCCTACACCCGCAACTGGGCGGGCAAATGCGCAGCGGACATCGCCAGGAACGACGCGGCAGCGTTCAGCTGCCGCGTCTGCGGGTTCAAGGGCTCGGACATCGTGGCCGCGGCGCCCTTGCAGTGTGAACGCGAGCGCGCATGGGAGCGCGCTCGAATGGCTCTCGAATTTCAGGTAAAGGTCAACTAAACTCAAAGCAATCTAAAGCAAGACGATATACAGGAGTTGCAGATTTGGACACCAGAGACTGGCAGAGGGCGGTTGAGTCAAAGGACTCCTGATTGCCGGACTCCAGGCACCAGATTAGCTCCTCCAATCAATGGCAGCTTCTGTCTCGATTTAAAGGAAAGTCAGGGTTTTCCATTATCTTCCCCGGCACCTCGTTCTGCCTTCCAAAAGTTCGACAACAATCTGAGCTCCTGATACCGAGTGCCAAAAACACCTCATGACAATCTCCTTAAGTCTTTATCCTTTCGTGATGCTGACGCTTTTTTCGTGTCCTTGTCCAGCGCGCGAGCTCCAGCAACAACCCCTTCAACCTCCTCGGTGCCCTAGGGGATGTTTCCGAGAGCGACCTAGCGGCCGCGCGTTCGCCCGCGCGCGCGCGCCAGCGACGCGCCCCAAACCCCGCCGTCAGCGCCTCGCAAAACCCCGTACCCGCGCCGACGGCCGCGGACCGACTAAGCGAGCTCCCCACGGACGTCCTGGTTCAAGTCATGGACCGGCTGGACGCGCCCGCGCTATCCGCGCTCGTGCGCGCGGGCAAGTACTACGCGCGCGCGGCCACGGAGCGCGGCGCGTGGGTGCGGCGCGAGCTGCAGTGCTTCCACTCGAAGCGCAGCTTCGCCGAGGAGGTTTTGGGGTTTGGGCTGGAGATCAAGGGATTAAATTCGCCGGCGCGGTGGGAGGGGGTGCTTCTGATGGATTATCTGTCGGCCGGGGCCTTCTTCGAGGGCAACGTGCGCAAAGGCGTCTGGAATGAGATGTGAGCGCTTGAGTTGATTCTATCTAAAGAAATGGTTACAGCATGATCCCTGTCTGCTCCTGGTTTTGAACGTCTTCTCACAAAATTTTTCACCGCCGTAGGGGACAGAGCGCTTCGCTCGAGAACGGTACAGCTGACGAGCAGATTTAATTTCACAATAGTAGCTGAGAATTCCAGCTCCAAGCCTGGTCAGTCAGCTTTTGAGATACCGTTATTGCCATTGGACGAACTCTCATCTGCGACAATTGAGGTGGATGAAAACTTTCTATGTGCGGTTTTTTTTCCAGGTTGACCTGGTGGCTCCCTCTGATTCTTGACGCCCAGCACTGCGCGCGCGCGCTCCCGCTCCTCAAGGGCATTATCAAGGCGCTCGCCACGGACCCTTGGCGCGCAGTACTGACACGTGGCGACATCCTGGACATGGCGCAAACGTTTTCGCCCCTCGACACGCTCAAGGTGAGAAACAAAATGTCGTAAGTGTTAGGGTTTGGTTGCGCCTTCGACGCGTATGTAACCATGGAAAATCTCCTCGCAATTCATCCCGCGCTTTCTGTTATTACACGTCACTCTTCCTCTTCTCGGGTCCGCACTTTTTTTGGCAATTGATTAATTTCGACTGTCTTTCTCAAGCTGAAGAACGCTTGAAAGCGCTTACCGTAGCACAGCGTCGAGATTATCTGTAAGCGACTATTAGACAGTCAAATTGGATCGATTCTCCTTTGCAGGTCCTTCCCCGCTTGATGAACGGCATGGTGGTATCGTTCATGAAGCAGGAAGAGGCGAAAAAGCAATGGAACCCTTACTCTTTCATGGGGAAAGAAGGCGCGGGGCAGCAAGGGAATCTGCACGCCTCCGAGAAGGCGCTGCTGGGGTGAGCTCGCTTGTCCTGATGCATTTCGAAACGCCCTAATCGCAACCCTGAATAGGTGCTAGGACGAGCGGCCGTCTAGATTGCTTTCATTTGCGCCACCTTGAGATGCTTCGCAGAGGGTCCAACATGAACGGATTTTGTTAACTGATTTTGCCAGTACACCAATCAGAAGATCAAATCAAAAATTTGTCACACCTCCTTTTCGACAAACACTCAAGTCGCCGATTTTCACCCCCCCCACGAAAGTACAGTCAAGTACGACTCCTCGCAAGCAGACGCTTAGCAGAATTTCTATGGACCCCGTTAGACCAGTTCTTAGTATCTCCCCCGGTGCAGTTACTGCCAGCTGCACCACATGCTGCTGCGCCTGGCCCAAGACTACCCGGAGATCCGAGACGCCATCGACCGGGCACTCTCCCGCTTCCAAGACAACACGAGCGCACGGCAGAAGAACGAGACTCCTGACCTGGGAGAACTGCTGGTGCTGCTCAGCGTCGCAAAGACCGGGGGAGTCACCTGGGCCAGCCTGGCGCCCGCGTTCATGGGGGAGTCCTTCGACAGGTGCGTGCGCGGCGGCTGACGTCATTTCACTGGTGCACTCGCGTGGAGGGGGAGGGATAAGTCTGAGGTTGCGCGTCGACCGTAATCCTACATGGCCTCCAGTGTTGCCTTTGCAGTAACGACGGGCAGGAGTTACGTACTTTTTAAGCCTTGTCACTCCTCTTGGATTTACCTTGGGTTTACACGTGGACCTAAGAAGCCACCCGATTGGCTAAGAAATCTGGAAAGCTTTTTGCAGCTTTTCGGTCGACGCGCACCCTAAATTCATGGTTCGCAAGAAGAGATTTATTCATTGACCCGCTAACCTACTCTTGGGCGGTCTGATGTCTCGCCAGCAATGCACATCGTTGAATAAACTCACCGTTGTGCGAAGTTGCCGTAACTTGGCGAGGACGTCACCAAGGTGAACACGAAATCACGTGAGCAGCAAAACCGCAGTGGGAACGGTCTACGAAAAGGAGGCTTCCTGAAACGACGGTGAATACCAAAGTCTCCCATCGGCGGTCCGGCTCTGACGACCTCCCAACATTCTGCCAAGTTTCAAACTGTTGAGCAGGTGCTGAAGTGATGCTGACGTGTGCAGGAACGTGCTGTGGCTCCTGAAGTCGCACCCCGAGCTGGCAGTCCTGGAGAACACGGACCACGTGTCGGACTACCGCATGGTGACCACTTTCAAAGAGACCACCGTCTCCAGGCGGCTCATCATGTTCCAGGTGGGGCGTTGAGCAATTTTGTTAGCTTTGGCTTCTAGCTATACCAAAAGCTCTGAGTCTCTCACCACCTTTGAGCAGGGTAGCAGTATCCTTGAGCGGGGTTAAAGTTCCACGTTTCGAGGAACAGGCCTTCAGCCTTTCCGTTGGCAAGATCTTGGTTCTGGCAGTTCTATGCTAAGAGATTTGGATCTTCCTCCACATTTCGTGAGTCTGTCATTATTGGTTCCAGATGATGACAGGCGGCCTGTATTCTTATTCATTTGTGCTTTAAGTCTTTGGTCAAGTAGCGTCTACGAAACATCTGCGAACAGTAATCAGCCGGGGCTTAGAATGGTATTCCGCCTTTTGGGTGCAGGTGGCTTTCTTGCTGCTCGTCCGTCCGTCCGGCAGTTCCGTCGGCGACGTCTTGGCGGAATCGCGCAGCGGTACGGCTATCCGCGGCCGGGCCTCACGCGCAAGCTGCAGAAGACGTGGTACGACGTTCTGAAGGTGAGGGATCCGCAACGATACCCTACGTTTACAATCCTGCGACGAGGCTCGACGTCAAAGACGCTTGAGAAGCTAGCGTGATTCGTGGCATCGTGATCTGAAAACTGAGGTACATCACGAATGAGTACCTCTGATTCCTGACGCCGTACTTAGATCTGGCCTTTGATAAACACAAGATTACTCGATGGCTTGGGAGACGCATTTCCTTGCGAATGCTTTCTGGTAGCCGGATATTTCCTCGTCCCGGCGGGAGAGATTATGTCCACACTAAGAAAAGCAGGTCGTGCAAATAATGCACTGCATCACGTGCAGGTTGCCACGTGGACCGATTATTACGCCCAGCTGGGCCTCGCGTGCCCTCCCACGCCGCTCGCGCTCTGCTCGACTCTGCGTCAGTCTGTCGTCAGCAGCAGCCAGAAGGGTTACCACTCGATCAAGCGGCTCTGGCATGGGCGCCGGGAGGACCTGATGCAACTGAGGTGGCGGTACGAACCGGCCATGCGTACTCAGTACCATACCTGCCTGATCTGATTGTCAAGAAATCTATTGAGACGAGCGAGCAACAAAAGACGAGAGCGCAGAAAGATCGGCTGTAAAGAGGAGAGAGTTCGTGCATCGCGGGCTCAGTAGGGCTTGAGATTTGGTAAGAGGAAAAGCGGATAGTCTGTTGACCAAGGAACCGTCAAGATAAAGGATAAATTCCCATCGCTTTAATTGAGATTGAGGATGGAACGAGTCAAAAATTTGGACGATGAGATGAATACGGTCTTGGTAATTCAAACAAGCAGCTCGTTCGCACGGAAAAGATGAATTTCAAGCGCGCGCGCGCGCAAGCATCATGAGTGACCGTACACATGAGTCTCTTGTTACCTATGGAGGGGCTTCAACCGTGTCCAAGATTGGCAAACCAAAGGATCCTCTTCAGCTGAGAGTGCGCTATGGAAGCGAAGTTACGGTATTCCAGGGCGATCGCCGATGTCGAGCGATATGAAAAAGTTCTGAATCAGCAACGATTCCACATACTTGAAAACTTTTAATTTGTAAGACTAGCAGCGTTAGTACTGGATGAAGGGATGACTGGTCTATCCTACCTGCGAACAAAGGTATCTTCTGACTCTCGTGAGGGCAATACCTTGGGCTAAAGAGGTCATGGTGTTCTTCTTGAAGTTGAAGCTTTGGTCCCACAAGCTGCAGCCGGAAAGAAGGACAAATCTAGCTGAGCCAGTTTGCTGCCGCATTAATAGGGCGCGTCGAGGTTTATGGCGCGGCCGCGCCGCCGGACCGCCAATGATTGGACTTGCACGCACAAGCGCGGCCGCGACACCGCCGCGCAGCCAACGGTCACTATAGTAGTCTCTAAAAGAGCATGCGTCTTTTGTTATCAGAAATTACAACAAACAATCAGAGCGCTTTTGGTCAAAGTCGCCATCTCGCAAGCAACCTTGCCCCTCTACAGCATTGCAAGACGTGCTTTGCATAGTTGGAGGACGGCAGGGGCCGTTCTGATTGAAGTGACAAGCCGGAGCAATGGGTTACAGAAGTACTGACAGGAGGGATCCCCTCTCAAAAGAGGTAAGTGCAGGAAAGCTGCTGAGGATTCCTGATCAAGCCTGATTGTGATCGTAATAAGCTATTGTTGCCTTTGTGCAGAGACACGCGAAGTCTCTTACGTTCTGCGAGATACTCTCGCAGAATCTGTTCTAAAATTCTTGACAGATATCTTCACATGGAAGAGCATTGTTATATTCAAGAGGATGTCCAGAAGGATCACTCTCACGCAAAAGGCGGCCTGATCTGGACATCGGAGAAGAGATCTGATATTGTATTTGCATGGAGTAGATTGAGAGTAGTTGATGCAGCGGATATGCTATGCATGAAAGAGAGACGTGTCTGCCCCGCCAAGTACTGAAAGAGCGCAGATGACTCCCCTGTTCTCTCTCGTCTCCCCTTCCAATTATTCGCTCAAAAAATCCCAGGTTCTGACAGAGGACACTCCATTTGCGAAGAGATCAGAGGGCATGTCAACGCAATACTTCAAGATTTAGAATAAGCAACAAGCGAGGAAAGGAGGGCATTCAAATTCCGAAGTGCTGGCCAGAGTTAAAAAGTCCCAGGAACCTGCAGAAAGTTGGACTCTGCTCTTCGCAGGGTTCACAGGTCTCTGCTTTGCTAGAGACATGTTTCCTCTCAAGACGTTCTGATTGAGAGCACCAAGCGTCCAACCACAGGTTCATATCCTATGTGCAGAACTTTCTGAACATTGAAGCATCCCTATGCTGGACATACACGATGCTTTCACTTAACCACCTGTTCAGGAGATATGACCTTGGATAAAGCAGCCACTCAATCTCAGCTGGCTGACCCAAGCCACTGCCCGCAGCTCCGATTACAAAGCTCCACATCTGAAAGACAGTCTTGACTGATACAATCATTGTGATTGATGTGTATCCATTTAAAACAATACAACCTGAATTCAATTTGGGTGATCAGATTCTGGAACCTAAATGTCTGTGCAGGCACAACAACGGCTGATGCGAGACTGGAAGGAGGTGCAGAAAGAGCCAATTCACACCGTCAAGGCGAGACCCCTTGAGAAAGACATTAGGTGATGCAGGCTCTCTCAGCCGGGCCACGGCAATTTTTCGTCCTTCTGAGACTATGCGTCCCAGGCGTCCACGTTGGCAGAGAAGAATGTAAAGAAAGCTTCTCATCTGCCAACTGGCATGAGACGTTTGCCATCTGTCATAATCCCTCATCGGAGGCGATTTGCTTGCGTAAAGTGCTTCGTTTGCTGAAGTCAACGCTCCTCAAACCTTTTCCGGTTGCACGCTGACGTCACGTCTCAAGCCAACTGCTGCTCAGCATCTGCGTCACTTTTTGCAGTGAATGGCTCTGCACGCTTCAACCAAACGAAGGCCCCTACCAGGGGATCCCTTTCCACCTCGTGCTAAAATTTCCGAGTGACTATCCGAACCGGCCTCCCTTTGTCCGCGTCTGCACCTTCCTGAGCCACCCGGTAAGTGACATACTGTCAATTCTGTGTTTTATTTGCGTCCTTCTCCTTTATTCGGACGACTTCTAGTTTGTTGCCATTCTGCCAAAAACCACCGGCCTTCAGTGGATTCGTTTTTGGATCTGCTGAGTCCTGAACTGGACTATGCAAATAGAACTGCGGAGATCCGGTAAAGGTTGCAATTGTCCTTAGAGACTGGCTGCGCTGGATGCTTTTGAAAGAAAGGAGCTTATGACAAAGAAAACCAACTCAAAGCTGAGCGATCGGGTTGCTGAGAGCTAATTGAGAAACCTGAGATGCAACATTTTATGCTCTTGCGTTTGCAGAACGTTTTTGAAGAGTGGATCTGCCTGTATATGATCAAGGAACCGGAAGAAGCCTCCGGGCCGTATCGAGGTGAGAAAGACTGTGCAAAAGTCTGACTACGCTACTAGAAGATTGCCAGGCCTAGTTCGTTTGGTCATTGGGGGATCCATGTCGTGCTTCAGTGCCGGGCTAGGGTTTAGATGTAGCCGCAAGTCCCGGTCAATCACCTGACGGGGATTGAAATCTGTGTTTCACTTTCAATAGATCTATGAAACATGTAGCCATCTTCCGTACTATACAATCTACTTCTATCTGCATCGACGGAGACGCGTGTCTGCTACCTTTGGTACGCCCTAGATCTTTCCCGCGTGCTTGTCACCGGAGTCGAACAGATGAATCGTCCTCGCTAAAAGCTTCTCAATTGGAATCATTCAAAGTGCCGGCTCATATGCTGGTAATCAAATGCATCCGCAAGTCGCTTCTCACCAAGCCAACCACGTGTCGCTCCCAGGTTGGTCCACGGCGTACAGCGTCCAGAGTGTCCTGCTGCAGCTGCAGAGCTTCCTGTTCGCGGAGAATGTCCCCCAGGTCAGCTTAATTCTTCCCCAACAAGGTCATCTTCCTTCGACAAAGGACAAAAATCAACGAATCCCAAGCCTCCACCGCATGATCGGTAAACGATATCTTAAAACTTTGAGCCTTGTGCGCTACTGTTGAGATGAATAGCTGTTGGTCCGATATTCCCTGCAGGATATGAGTTAAAATGGACACAATCAAGTTCAATAGATGTTGGTCGTAGTTGGTATCTTTACCGTGTCAAGTTTGAAGCAAAGATCATGAGCTCAAGGAACCTCTTCTCAAGGTTCGCTACGCGTATTCCTCCGGCACCTTTCGTTCAGGAGGCAGAAAGATAAACAATACTTGGGGCACTGCAGGTTCAAGATCCAGATGCGTCCGACTCAGACGATGACCCCGACGAGTACAGGCACGCTGCGGCAAGCAAAGTGTATACAGTGGTCAACAGAGCCGACCAGAACGAGGTCGAAGATGCCCGGCGCGACGCGGCCGCGTTCATCTGCGCCGGCTGCGGGTTCAGGGGTGCGGCGATCGCGGCAGGAGAGCGCGCGCGGGAGAGTGCGCAGGCCGCCTGTGATGCTCAGGTAATGTAGAAATGACATCTGCGGGTTAAGTGTTCGTACGAAAAACGGGATCGAGAGTTGGCAATTGATTCTTATGCGGGTTATTCATGATTCTTGCACCATTGTACAAGAGCACACAACTAGAGAGCCATCCGCAGAAGACGATGCAAAACCTGCCCGAAGAATGTCCGCCACCCCGGCGTCAAAATCATCCGCCGCTACGATCCAAACATGTGGTTGGCTTCGGATTCGAGAAGTTAATGGCGAAGCTTGTATCTGAGTCCCATCCCTTCTTGTGCCAGCGCGTTGGCTCGCTCGACGATCCCTGCACCGCTTCTGGCGACCCTGAGGACTCCTCTTACGACTCGGAGAGCGCATCCGCCCGTTCGTCGAAGCGCGCGCGTCTCGCCCTCACACCAGCCGCCCGGCCCTCAGCCGCCCAAACCCCGCGCCCGAGCGCGCCGGCCGCGTCCAAACCCCCGGCGCGCAACCCGGCCGCGGACCGCCTGAGCGAGCTCCCCGCGGACGTCCTGGTCGAAGTCATGGACCGGCTGGACGCGGCCGCGCTCTCCGCGCTCGTGCGCGCGAACCGGCACTACGCGCGCGCGGCCACGGAGCGCGGCGCGTGGGTGCGCCGCGAGCTCCAGTGCTTCCACACGAAGCGCGGCTTCGGCGAAGAGGTTTTGGGGTTTGGGATGAGTGTGAAGGGTTTGGAGACGCCGGGCGCGAAGCGGTAGGAGGGCGTGCTGCTGATGGACTACCTCTCGGCGGGGGCGTTCTTCGAGAACGGAGTGCGCAAAGGCGTCTGGAACGAGAGGTAAGCTCTGATTTCGAACATTAAGAGATGCGTTTTTGATTTGTATTAGCCTTCACTTGACAAATTTAGGAAGCAATGTAGTTTCTGTTGGGGACAGGCTGGCGGATGGACCTAAAGTCACATGCGAAGCGTGACCGAAGGCCTGCCAATCAAGCTGCACTTGGTCTTCGACCCGCTTGGCTGCAAGCTGTCGTTTAATTAATCCTAAAATCTGGTTACAAGACGAGATCAGCCCTCAAAAAAAATAGGGAAGAAAAGAAAGTCAGAGACAAACTTTTACACCCTGTGCTTAACGCAGCAGCTGAAGTTAGAAAGTCAGAAACTCATGCTGATCCTCTGTTTCTGTTTGACAATACCTTCGAAAGACTCAGGCTCACATCACCGATGCGTCGTCTCCAGGTTGAATTGGTGGCTCCCCCTGCTCCTGGACGAACAGCACTGCGCGCGCGCGCTCCCGCTTCTTAAGGGCACCATCGCGGCGCTCGCCACGGACCCCCGGCGCTCGAAGGTGACACATGTCGCCATCCTGGACATGGCGCGGCACTTCTCGCCGCTGGACACACTGAAGGTGGGCGTTTACAAGAGGAAAATCATCAGAACCTGCGTTTTGCGTTTTGAGCGCGCCTTCTGGCCTCTTATCTCTGAACCTCTGATTTGAGCATCCCTTCACTTACTTTCCTCCGGAAAAAATGACCCTTACGACGTCTTAATTCTTTGAATGAGATGCAGACTCGCTAAACATTTCAAAGATATTTTTCTCAGTTGGCGCGAAGGGCCACTGCATTGTCCATTCGACCGTTCACTTTCCTGAATGCCTCACTTACGAAAGCCGCAATCTCTTTGTGACTCGACTTGGTCTAACTTTCAGGACTTTCAATGCTTGAACCCAGAAAAATACATCACAGGCGAAGCTTCTCTAGCTGTACTCCCGCAGGTTCTCCCCCGCCTGATGAACGGCATGGTGGTCTCCTTCATGAAGCAGGATGGCTCAGAAAAGCACGTGAACCTGCACGCCTCTGAGAAAGCTCTTCTGGGGTGAGCCTCGTTTTTATTTGAGCCAAGAGACGGCGCTTTCATCACAAGTCAAGCGGGGTGAATGTGCAGGTTTTGGCTGCGACGCGTTTATTTCAATACGCGCTTGAATAGGACTGTAAGATGCCTCAGTTAGATGGAGGAAAACGGATCTGCTAGAAAAGCATATTCACTTCGTTTCAAGGAGTTTTCCCTACTTTTCGAAGCTGGCACATATACACGTAAGTTCTACAAGCATGATGTGGCACGTGCGCCTTCTAACAGTCCGCCAGCATAGGCCAGCTTGCAAAACCCTCGCGGACTATCTGTAACCCCGCAGCTACTTTCAGACAGTCCCAATCTTCCCCGGTTGCAGCTATTGTCAGCTGCACCACATGCTGCTGCGCCTGGCACAGGACTACCCAGTGATCCAAGCGGCGGTCGACCGAGCACTCTCTCGGTTCCATTCCAACCTGAGCGCTCGGGAGAAAAACGAGACCCCCGACCTGGGCGAGCTTTTGGTGCTGCTGAGCGTCGCCAAGACCGGGGGAGTCACCTGGGCCAGCCTGGCGCCCGCGTTCGTTGCGGAGAGTTTTGACAGGTGCGCGCGCGGCCATTAGAGAGTGTCTGCTTTTATCTTGTGCACAATCGGGGCTCGCTTGACATAAGGGCTTTGAGCAGAGTATATGGTAACGCTTTCTCTACGCTAGTTCTTCTTCGGCCTCCCAATAGAGCATAATCAATGTCTAGATCTCGTAGGTCTTTCTTCATTGTCCAAGCTTAGTGCAGGTTTGCAACTCGTACTGCTAGGAATCAGGAACCAGAAGTGTAGCTTTTTCAGTCCACACCAAGCTACTTACGGCCGGATGGTGCTGAAATGTGTGAGTAACCTGAGATTTAATCATTTCCGGACGTCACGATGACGTGTGCAGGAACGTGCTGTGGCTCCTGAAGGCGCACCCCGAGCTGGCAATTCTGGAGGCCTCCGACACCGTGTCGGAACACCGCCTGGCCACCACCTTCAGGGAGACCGCCGTAACAAGACGGCTCATCATGTTCCAGGTAGGCGTTGCGTGAGTTCCGTGAACCTTTTTAACTTGTTAGGGGCTCCATGAAGAGTTAGTACTACATTAAGAGGAGACATTAGAAGATTTGACCGACAAGATCTTTTAGGCTCCTAAAAGCCTTCAAGCTGGGTGGCGATGTAGGAATGGTGGAGTCCCATTCGGAACAAGAATCAACCAGTTTTGAGCTGTTGGAGTTTTATAGCAATTTGCAGGACGTATAAACTGATCAAGGTGAATACTCAAAAGCGAGGAGGAAAGCAGTACAGAACACATTCAGGAAAAAGCAATTGAGAACTTGCCTGGCGATCGTGCAGGTGGCGTTCTTGCTGCTCGTCCGTCCGTCCGGCAGTTCCGTCCGCGACATCCTGGCGGAATACGCGCAGCGGTACGGCTACCCGTGGCCGGGCCTCACGCGCAAGCTGCAGAAGACATGGTACGACGTGCTTAAGGTGGGGCAATCTGAACAAATGCGGTATAATTATCCGAAAAACGTCTTTAAACTGAAGTGATCCAGCTCTCTTTATCTGAACCAGCCTCAATTCAGGAGGAGGAGTGGAGAGCTTTCAGTTTCCAACATTCCCAAACGAAAAAGCCGTTCCGCTTGGTTACAGTCCACAAAGAAAGTCAAGCCTTTTGCCGGAAACGTTGTCTTTCCGACGAGACCAGCTCTGAGGAATACCAACAAGCAGAAAGAGTGAACGCACGCGGAAACATCATGAACTATTCTTATCATCACTTCAGGTTGCCACGTGGCCCGACTTCTACTCCCAATTGGGCCTGGCGTGCCCCCCCACATCGCTCGCGCTCTGCTCCACGCTGCGTCAGTCTGTTGTCAGCAGCAGCCAGAAGGGCTACCACTCAATGAAACGGCTCTGGCAAGGCCACCCGCGAGACCTGCTGGACCTCAGGAGGCGGTACGAACCCACTCTGCGCGCGCACTATCCAAACTGCCTGGTTTGAGAGCGAGGGGAGTACGATTTGCTCAAGAGCCGGAGAGATCGGGTGCAGATGTGGAAGTGTTATAGCGTGGTTTGCTTCTGATTACTTTCGACTAGGTAATCGGTTCTGCAATTGTGAAGAAGGAATTACACGAAGCGTAGAGCGTCACCCTTAATTTTTCAAGTGTTTACGAAAAGATATGTTGCACCGAATTATGTACAAAACCCTGGAAAAGAACTTTGTAGAGCCCGATATACGTAACAACAAGCTGAAGAGGACGTGCCGGATCCAGCATTTCTTTGAGCCACCGGAAAGGACCTTGCTGGGCAATGGGCACTACGATGCTTGTCATGCGACTGTGCTGGGTTGATTAGCGTGCAACGAAGCAATCTAGAAAGTTACAGGCTTGTGCACGGGAATTCCACGAAGCTTGGAGTCTAGGAACGCAACATACGGCACTCTGAATAAATAGACTTGGGGAAGCTTCGGAGACAATGCGAGTATCTGCATCATCTTTGCGGCTGACTCAGTTTATGACAAAATACACAATCGCGCGGCATTAGGCCAGCGGTAAATTGACACGATACACAAGGAAGAAGTAATCCGCAGCATGACTTGAACATTTGCGACGCACGATGTGCATACTCGATTATGGCACCCAAAGGAATGATTTATACACGGTCTTTCAGGTCAAGAACTTTTCACGAACCGTTTGCTTCTCCGCAACAGCGCATGCCAGGGCCCTCAGTACGTCTCAACGCACTATCGAAAGATAGTCCTATGCCGCAGCATTCGCATTTACGTTTACCATCCTAGGAGTCCTAGAAGCTCCTTCTTACAAGGAAGCAACCTATCACACACATGACAGACACGACCAACGTGGATTACTTACTAACCCTGCTTAGCCAAGCGGTTGCGCGCGCGTGGCATCTACACTACGCGAGCTAGCGTTACATCTTTTGTTCAACCGATCGGCTTAGGGGTGGCCGCCTTCAGTGCGCTCAACTCGTGGCCTGGGGTGGCCATCTTTGCGAGCGGATCCGCACCCGCGGGCGCGTCGTTCTTCGCCATGGGGTCAGCCGTGGCGTCAGCGCCCGCGGGCGCGAGCTGATCCGCCGGCCGCTTGTTCCGGCGGAAGTGCCGATGAATAGGGCGCGTACTCTTCCAGTCGTACCAGGAGCCGATGCAGGCGAAAATGAGTGTGAGCAGAATGATGGCGCCAGCGATGGACCCCACCACGATGAGCGAGATCTTGCAGGCGTGGTTGCAACCGCCGTGCCCTGCAAGGAAGAAAGATTGGTCTCAGACTTGGATGATCGATCCAAATAAGACCAGATTGATGAGACGGTTGGGGATATAAGGAGGTAGTCTGTGGAGCCGTAAGTAGTCGGGAGACGTCTAGATGCACTGCAATCAGCTTGACGACCCCGATCGATCTGACCAATCACACCAACCAAGAAGTAAGAACTCAAATACAACAAGAGAAGGTTCAGTCAAACTGGAGAATATTACCTTGTATCTTGCATGCGAGTAGTAGCTGTACGAATAACGAAGGAACACGCAGAAGTGGAAGTGTGAGGTCTGGTGATCAGTAGCAACAAGCACACATCTTTTGAATGGGTAGAATCGCTGATCGCTCTGCTCAACGGCAAGAGCATCTGCCTATTCCATCTGGCGTCTTTGATCAGTTGAATTAGTAAGACAAACCTCGACACTATTGACGGCAGGTTGGAAGGTTGTACAATAGTGAGAGCGGTGAGACGGAAGCAGACGCATCAGGTAGGCTTACATTGAGGAGATTACACACGAAGCATCTGTTTTGAGCACAACCTTTGTCACCAAACATGCATGATCTGAAGGCTACACGGCACGCCTGGTATACTGTCTTCACGATTTGCAAAGTCCTTATTCGACTCTCGAAAGCCAGAAAGCCAGCTTGACTTTAGACGAAAGACCTGGACAATCACTTCCACTCTTGAACAAAAACGTACACTTCAACATGAAGCGGATGATTATGAAGCCATGATTGATCAAGACATTGCACGTCTGTGCCGTAGCCGAAAGAGGCCTCGCTTAGCTCTGAAGTCGCAAGACTTTGCCAAGTTGTCGAATATGACACTATGTGCTTGATCAATGATGCTTGAACAAAGTAACAAAAGTGGCTTGACGTGAGGATTCACTGTGCTTTTCAAGAGTAGATGACAACCTTCAAGGGCAAACTCAAGGAAACAAGAGCAGAATGACCTTGGTACCTGAAGAGTGGCCTGATCCACTAGAGTGAGAGCCAACAATCGCACCAACAGCCGCAGCCCCGGCAGTCGAACCATGACTGCCACTGCTGCTGCTGCTGCCACCACCGTGGCCGCTTGAGCTTCCTCCACGCAGAATGCGAGCCATGCTCAGATTGTGACGACTTAGCGTAGATGAAGACAGATGGATTGAGCAAGAAGAGTCCCTTGCGGGTGGTGAGATGAAGGATTGCGTCAGCTTTGGAACATGTTGTCAAAGGAATGGCGCCCGATCGACGCTTTCAGACAAACATAAACGTGGAGTTCCAACCAAAGCGACCCGTCGCCCGGACAGAGTTGGGGGCGGCCGGCGGGGTTTTGCAGAGGTCTAAGAAAAAGGTGCCAAGTGGCAGAAGTTGGTTTCCCAGGGTTTCAAAAGCAACATCTTAAGATTTTGTGGTGCCTACACATGTCCACCTGTCGATTAGAGGCGCCACTTGGCAGCTCAGAACCTGTTGCACCATGTGCCGAGCTACCTGCCAACGACACGTTCTGGTTGGCCGTTAAAATGTGACTGGCGCAAGGTACTTCCCGCGGCCGGCCGCATGCGCTCTCCTACTCACTGAATAAAGCCCCGGCCGACAGGCGCGGCCGCCCTGCGGCCCCGATCGCGGTCACATTGTGCGCGGCCGCGCCGGACCGCGGCGAGCGTCCGCCAATCAGCCGCGCAAGCGGCCGGCCCCATGATTGGGCCGTGTAAACCTGATGCGCGGCCGCCCGGGGCAGGCCGCGGCCCCGCTTGACGCGGCCGCGCGGCCCGCCTGTGCCGCCTTTGCGCTATACTAGCCAGTGCCAGCCCAAGATTTGTGCCGCCCGCGCGGCCCGGTTAGTCGGCTACTAGGTGAGCGCGGCCGCAGTGACCGGCGGCCCGGCTGAACGGCGCGCGGCGGCCCGCTGATTACTAAACCCTTGAACCTCGCTTTATTCCACTAAAGCGGCCGCGATATATTGGTCACCTGGAGTATCGTGACTTGGAAACAAGGAACAAAAGGTCGGCTTTTGTTGCATCAAAAGGAGCAGTCGAAGCAGCTGTTTGCACGTGAGCACGTGGCGTTCCAATAGCTTCGGTATGGCGCCTAAGCCTTGTTGTTGCTCGAAGCCCTGTCCCCGCTGTGTTGCGCGATTAGAGGCCGCCCTTAATGAAGTCCGTGAAGGTCTTGAACCCTTTGTAGCCCTTGATCAATTAGCTAACTTTTGTGAGAGGAACAGGACTGCGTTGCTGCTTTTGTCTGGAATCGTATGCAGTGCTAGCATTGGAGGCTATTACCTGGGAAAGTGGTCGTACCGTCGAGAATGTGCTAGAGCAAACCGTCCCAACACCGCGTAATCAAGCAGATTGTGAGGCACTCCAGCTGCTTGACTTTTCGGCTCTAAAAGATTTGGCAAGTGTTGGCAGACTCTTGTATAAGCTTTACTAGTTCAGCCTCTGAAGGTTAACTTACTAGGTGCATTGCATACATGCCTCAACCAACCCAGGCCCAACTCCTTCTTCATTTGAACACAAACCTGCGGACAGTTGCATGGAAGCTCCATTCAGGCAAGTAATCAGGAGAGTCAATGGGATCTGGGACGAGCAGCATGAGAGTGCAACAAGTCTAATGGTCTTAGGATCAAAGAGACATATATCTGAGTACTTGAACAACCAAATCTGATGAATTATTGTCTGAGAAGCTGCTTAACCTTACAAGCAATGGCATGAAGATGCTTGATGGGCGGACTCTGCAATGGATCGAAATAATTCTTGATATCGATGATGACGATATTCGCATCCAACTTGTGATGGGCCTGAGAAGTCACACGCTGACCAACAAATCCCTTGTCGATCGCTGATACGTGATCACAAATCAAGAGACACATCTGTTGACGAAATGGCGGCATTTTGACTTTGCTGTATACTTTTCTTTGTCGAGTTCTCCATGTTGAAAAGGCTTTGGCAACTAGCTGAATGTAAAACAGTAGATTTTGTTATATGCAGGCAAACATTAACAGTGTCAAAATCTCATAAGTTTAAGTTGAGTTGCTGGCTTTGTTACGCCAGAAAGCTGTCGATCATGCATAAGCAGCTGCATTTAGGACTTGATTACCAGTACAATTGGCTCAGACACGAAATTTTAGATTCACGGCCTGCACGGTACGTGCGCCTAGCCTTGCGCAGCGCTGCGCTAAAGGGTGACCGAGGAAGCCCGCCCGTGGGCTGCCATGAAAGGTGCGGCCAACGCTTGCAATGTTATATGCCAATGTTAATTTCCATTATAATTTGTCATTTTACGTCGGCTCAGCTCAGCATGGCGCGGCCACCGCCAGCTGATAATGACTAGCATGCCAGTGAAGCTCGACTAGAGTCCATGACATTGTGTCCAGCAAAACTCGTCAAAGCTTGAGGTATCGGCACGTCTTTAGTGGATGGAATGAGCAACATGTGCGCTCTGGAAAGCCAAAGTGTAAAAGTGGCAGCATCTGTGTGGCGAAAATCCAGTGGCGAAGTAGTGTCTTTCGCATTCTCTTCCTTAGAATGCTTCGACTTGCACTGTTTAATCTTATGCTGGCAGACAGGAGTCGAAGCAAAGAGTTTCTTACCGGGCTTACTACTCGAATCCTACTGGTCCTCAACTTGACCGTTTGAATTTTGCATCTTGGCAATAATTCAGACTTGTTGCCCCGTTCTCGAAACATGATGCAATCGACCTGCAATTAGCTACTGATTCTATTCACTATCTATTTCAAGAACAGCGAAGGGGTTCAAGCTAACTACAGTCGGTTGACTCGGCTGACGAGGTGCAGCCCTCTGATCTCTCGCAGTAGAGGAGGCCCTGTTAGGTCTGTCCCACCACGAAGAAGGCTGTGGCTGACCGCTGCTCGCGCTCGAAACAGGGCCTGCGAGCAAGAGTCTGTTTTGGTCACTTTCAAAAAAACCTGGCAGCGTATGCGGCAGAGTCAAGTTTGCCGTCCGCGTCAAAAGGATGGCAAGTAAGCACGGAGAGTTACAAGCCAGCGTTCAGCTTCGCTGGTAAGACGGATGTCTTTGGTACAAAAGTAGTGGATTGTTTCGGTAGGCTGTCAACTAAACGTCAAGTGAAAGCACATGACTTCAGGACTTTGAGATGAAGGCCGCTTCAGGGCTCACAATTTCACGGTCCCACTAGACCCCCGACCTGGTGAAAAGGACACGTGTAGAAAAACTTGAACTAACTTCGCAAAAGCGTCTTTCGGGCTTACTTCCATCGTCCTTAATAATATATCTTCAAGGAAGCAGCCATAAGCTCTCACCATTCCCTTCCGCATTGTCCCTCCCCTCCCGCCGCCAAGGCCCCGTTTCCCTCCGGCCCGTCACGCTAGGACTCACGCCCCGAGCCCGCTCTTTTTGCTGCCGCAGTGAAACAAGGCCCCTCAAATTCAGGCCTGAGCGCAGCCGCTCGACTGAATGGTAGCCCTTCCTGCTGCTGCTGACGACAGCCTGACGTAGCATGCTGGACAGCGCAGGGTTGGAGGGGCACGGCAGGCCCAGTTCGGCGAAGTAGGCGGGCCACGTGGCAACCTGGGAGGCATAGGAAGACGTGAGAGTTGCGCAGAAGAACGATGAAATAAACAGCATGGGATGAGATTTAACCTGGGAGCTAAAGCAAACACGTGAGGTCCTGGCCTTAGATGAGAAGCGGGACGATAAAAATGAGGGGCTGACTTGTTAATGGGAAGAAAGTATGAAGCAACTATGTGGAGCTCGCAATGCAGATCGAGAAATCTGATTACGAGGAATGGTGTCTAGCATGCTGAAGCGATCATGCCTTCTGAAGTGAATCCTTGAAGATCTGAAAGCGTTAACATTCAGCAGATTTTTAGGCTACCGCACGTGGGGTGGACTAACCTTTCGGACGCGGTACCAGGTCTCCTGCAGCTTGCGCGTGAGGCCCGGCCGCGGGTACCCGTACCGCTGCCCATATTCCGCCAGGATGTCGCGGACGGAACTGCCGGACGGACGGACGAGCAGCAGGAACGCCACCTGCACGTCAGCAATCGGAGTCAGAACTGCTAGCTTTCTTCAGAATAAATTTCTGGGAACTGACCCGTCTAGCCTTTGCACTTGTCTTGCAAGCTGCACGAATCCATTTGAAGAAGGTGCGTACTCCAAAGTCGTCCATTCTGAATTCTGGAGATATGCAAGAGAATAGTCGAGGAGAGAGCGCACTTGACTGTACACCCGAAGATTCAGAACACAAGTTCTTCTGACAGAATCAGGTCAGCGTATCCCAATCTGTCGCCAACATCTAAAGGAAAAAGTGCACGGTGACTTCCAATTTCTCAATGAATGTTCAGCGGGTTGCTTGAACACAGCATTTCAGTGTGCTCTCAGAAGCGCGAATAGGGCGTGCCACAGTCCACAGCTTTTCAGAAGTGCAGTGCGATGTGCCAGAGCGTACGCCTCCTGTAAATCCATCTCAACGCTTTAGTACTGCTGATGAAGCAACAAGATGGTTTCTTTCGGTACAGCCCAGAGGGCAAAGAAAAAGTGTACGTTTGTGATGATAATCCTCACCTAACAATCAAGGTTCAATTCCTAGCAATAGAAACAGCGTCAATACATGAAATCAATAATCTAAGATGCAGTGGTCCTAAACCCTCCTCAAAAAGATACAACCCTTACCTGGAACATGATGAGCCGCCGCGAGGTCGCGGTCGCGTTGAAGGTGGTGGCGAGGCGGTGCTCCGATACGCAATCGGCCGCTTCCAGGACCGCCAGCTCCGGGTGCTCGCGCAGCAGCCACAGCACGTTCCTGCAAACGTGAGCATGACGTCAGATGACGTCACAATATCCTGCACGACGTCAGCCTAGCATCCGTGCTTTTGCGGAACGAGGATAGGTTGGAGCATAAGACAAGGGCTTTCCATTAAAAGGATTTGGAAAAAGAGAGGACTGAGATGCTAGGACTCTGTCGGCCGCTTCTGACTTAAATCTTCAATGAGGGTGAAACGAACGCCATGTTCCGCTCGATAGCCTATGCTTGTGTAAGGTCTGCGTCACGGGCGGTCGTGATCGCACGAAGTGGAAGAATGCGCGCGCACCTGTCGAACGTCTCCGCAACGAAGGCGGGCGCCAGGCTGTCCCAGGTGACCCCCCCGGTCTTGGCGACGCTGAGCAGCACCAGCAGTTCCCCCAGGTCGGGGGTCTCGTTCTTGTGCCGAGCGGTGGGGGTGGATTGGAAGCGGGAGAGTGCCCGGTCGATCGCTGTTTGGAGCGCCGGGTAGTCCTGGGCCAGGCGCAGCAGCATGTGGTGCAGCTGGCAGTAGCTGCATCCGGGGAATGCTCTTATTGTTGAGGGAACTGAATTTTAGAAGATCACCTAGAGTTTCAAAAATATCTGTTTTAGCAGTTCTGAGCGCCCCCCCTGCAGCGCTAAAACGGTGTCAGACGTGAACGGGTTCTGACGTTCAATCTAACTTTGGAAGTGGAAGCTTAGAATGAGCCCTGGAAAGAGGAAACTGGAATATGAGAAATATGAAGAGTCGAACGAACGAATTTATTGGGAAAGGCGTGAGCGCAGGCACCGGAATCCTGAGCCACGAGGATGCCAATCTGTGGGTGCTGGTGCCAGAATGATCAGAGTAGTCGATCGCTCTGCTTTTCACTTAGAGGCAGGGCAGGATCGTGCAACATTGACGCTTGCATGCTGCGTTGTCACTTGCCTGGCACCGACTCTTGCCACATTAATTGCTTGTGAATCGAAACTGAACTCCCTGCTTCTCAGGTGACCAGAAGGAAATGTAGAAGCAAAAAAGGGTGGAAGCGGAGACGCTAAACGCGGCTTACCCTAGGAGCGCTTTCTCGGAGGCGTGCAGGTCGGCCTTGTTTCCTGCGCTCCCCTGCTTCATGAACGACACCACCATGCCATTCATGAGCCGAGGAAGGACCTGCGGAAAAGGAACCCGAGAATCGAAGATTTAGACACAGGAGTCTAGTCTTGTCCAGCAGGAGTTTGAAACCAATCGAGGAAATAAGAAGGAGTTTTATATCAAGCTTTTGCGAGATGTGCAATCGACTCCCTGCAGCGTTGACCGGACCTTTAGCTTGACTCATCGGATGCTGAAGGATGAGATCTGAAGCATACTTTCCAAGCTACTCGGTCGAGCACAGTTGGCAGGACTCCACAACATCCGGAACGAGAACCAGGATTGGGAAGCTTATCATTTTAAGTTCGTATTCTTGGTGGAAATGTCTTGCCAGAAGTTTACTTCACAGATGAAGAATGTAAGTGTGCCCACCTTCAGGGTGTCGAGAGAAGAGAAGCTGTGGCGCAAAATATCAGCACGCGGCAGGGAGGGGCGGCGGGGGTTCGCGGCGAGGGCCGCGATGGTGCCCTTGAGGAGGGGGAGTGCGCGCGCGCAGTGCTGGTCGTCCAAGATTAGAGGAAGCCACCACTCCAACCTGAGGGACAAAAGGTGAGATTCTGTTTCACAAATAATCTTCAGGTTCAATCGGGTAAGTTCTGTTTCACGACTAGTTCTTAATTCATTCGGGTAAGGTAAGTGGAGTTTTCGAGTCTGTCAATCCGGAAGCTTCAGGTTCAGAATACAAAGTTCCAACAGGAAACAGAGAAGGTATACTGACGAGAGCAGGCAGGTAACGATCATGTTTCGTCTCCTCTGAGGCAAACCTTCCCAAAGACATCTACTTGAGCTTGGCAAACGAGTGAGCATAAATTCAGTTCCTGACGAACCACCTTGGCGAACCGGATGTTTCAATGTCCAGCAGCCACTGCTGATCTAACTTAGTTGCTGTAGTCAGAAACCAACTGTTTCAGACCTACGCTTACCTCTCGTTCCAAACGCCCCGCCGTACCCCCCCCTCAAAAAACGCCCCCGCCGAGAGATAGTCCATCGAGAGAACCGGCTCCCAGCGGCCCCTAACCTTCGGCTTCCGTTCCGCCCGCCGGTCCGGTCTGCACATCGGACACGGACACCCATAGTCCCCGTCATTTTCAACCTCCTCGCCCTTGGTCGCAACCCCAAACCCCAAAACCTCCTCGCCGAAGCTGCGCTTCGTGTGGAAGCACTGCAGCTCGCGGCGCACCCAAGCGCCGCGCTCCGTGGCCGCGCGCGCGTAGTGTCGGCTCGCGCGCACGAGCGCGGACAGCGACGGCGCGTCCAGGCGGTCCAGGATCTGCACCAGGACGTCCGTGGAGAGCTCGCTCAGGCGGTCCGCCGGGGTTTCGGGGTTTTGCGCCGCGGCCGGCTCAGGGTCTGCCACGGTTTGGGGCGCCGCTGCCGGCCCAGGGTTTGGTAGGGTCGGAGGTCCTCGCGGCGCAGGGACGACGACGACTTTGGCGGGGGTGTTGGAGGACTTGGCAGAGGTTTGTGGGGATTGGGTGGGCGGGGAGGTGGGGACACGTGGCGGGCTCTGGAGCGCTTCCGTGGGCGCGACGCGGCCGCCCTCCGAGCTTGCCTCGGACGCCGACGGGCTGGCGGCGCGCGCGCTTCTGTCGAGAGCGCGGGCTATGAGCTCGTTGACGGTGTTGGGTACGGGGCGCGCGCGCGGCGCGCGGCCGCGGTGATCGGGCGTCCGCGGCGTGCGGACCTCGCCACGGGTGCGGACGGTGAATCGTTCCTCCACGGTGTCGTCGAGGTTGTTGGCCCAGCGGGCGAGCTGGAGAATTGGGATTTCGAAGAATTACAAACAGGAAGAGACGTAAGACGAGACAACGCAATGATGAAGCAGATCACAAGGTCGCCATCAGGTTCATTTAAGTAGAGGGAGCGGGCCAAAACAAGAGCACCTCGGGAATTGCAGAAGGCACCGAGAAACGACAGACGAGTCGAGGGATTGGTGTGATGTCCCAGGTTTGTCTCACCCGACCGTTCAAGACCACGGTATTCCCATCCCGGGGGAGGTTTGGGGCCGTGGCCGCGGCGTTGCTAAAGCCCCTAAACCCGCATTCAGCGCAGTGAAAAGCTGCAGCCTCGCGCTTGGCGCGGGCGATCTCGGACCCAGCCGCCCGGTTGACGCTGTTGCCACCCCAGTCCTGCACAAGGCTCAACGGACGGAACAGATTAAGAACCGGACATAACGCGTCTGAAACAGACGGAAAGAATCACAATAAGAAACTGTGCAGTAGAGCCTTCAGCGACTTGGTGCGATTAGTTAGGATATAGTTTGCTGCTATGCAACAGCATTCCTGCCAGTACTGTCAAACCGCTGCTTATGGCAGATTCAAACAAATCTCATCCCACAAAGGTCTCCCTGAACGCTTTTAAGCTCTTGAACAACCAAGAGTAAGTTGCAGGAATCTCTAGGATGGAAACGGCAACAAATTTGCGGCCGTTGCAACTCTTCAATAAGAACGTCTCTTCAGGAATCCTAAAAATTTTCTGATCATGTTTGCGTGTATGCTGTCCTTCTTGACACGATGCGGAAGATCTGGAGAAGGCTGAGTAGACCTGGTCCATGGGGTGTTAACAAAGCGGTTAGAAGGTGGTTGAGCTGACCTGGGGCACGTTTTCGGCAAACAGGAAGCTCTGGAGCTGTAGCAGGACGCTTTGGACGCTGTACGCCGTGGACCAACCTGCAAACGACACGTGTCCAATTCTGAGTATGTCCCTGGACGATCAAAGTGACCTTAAGGATTGTTCTGGAACACCCAAAAATGTGGAGACGCCCAGCCAGTGTTTGAACTAGGCGCGCGGCTGCACACGATCACGGGATTCCATTCTGGGCCCAACAGATGCATAAAGTGCTGAAGAGGTCCCTTTATTTGACACGTCCACCATTCTCGCCATTAAAGTCTCCCCTGTAACGCCTAGAAACGCAGCCCTTCGATTTGCCCTAGGTTTTTCAGACAGCGGCGGTCTGCGGAACGCAGCTATGCTAATAACGGGGCATTCTTATTGGGGCTATGAGTGTGGACCAAGCTGTCATGGATACGAACCCCGTGGCGAGCTTTTATCGTTAAATATAGGCTGACCTTGGTATGGTCTCGAGCAATACTCGGGCTCCTTGATCATGTCCAGGCAGATCCAGTCGCCAAAAACATTCTGCAATGAGCGGAAGGAAAGGCATCAGCAGAGCTTAGGGAAAAACTGACCCTCGATGCATCATCACATATCCGATCTACCTTCGTGGGGCGCAGCAGGTTCTAAGCAACGTAATAAAGGCAGATCCGAGGAGCCTTAACGTACCAAAAACACTCCCGCGGTTTACAGCGTTAGGATAGAAACGTAGATTTTCCTAGACCTCACCAGCTCTTTATTGTCGTTGAAAGTGCTGCTCCTGCGCGAGCTCTATCTCTCAAGCTGTAAACCTGAGTTGGTGAAAGCCCTCCATCAGCAGGTGGAACCGGTTTGTGAAACGTAGAGAATGGAAGCAGGCCCAGCGTTACACTCACGGGGTGACTCAGGAAGGTGCAGGGGCGGACGTTTGGGGGGGTGTTGGGGTAGTCCACTGGGAACTTGAGGATGAGGTGAAAGGCGGTACCCTGGTAGGGGCCCTCGTCCGGGATCAGATTGCAGTGCCATTCGCTGCAGGAACGAGCTTTTTGAGTGTCAGAAAGGTTCTCTCTTTCCTCGTTTCCCCCCTTTCGCGAGCGGGTGAGCAATCCCGGTTGCATTTTTGGGTTAAGAAACTTGCTTGGACTTTACATGGCTTCCCGCCCCTGGAGATGCAGCTAAGAGCAGCATGACAACACTCTGGAGAGAAAATTCTGGAGAAAACAAATCACACCCCCTGGAAGGGAGCCACCGTCCGGTAGAAAGCGCGTGAACTCCAGAAAACAGCTGATGAGTTAAGACGAGCTTTAACAGCGTAGAAAGAAGCAAAGTTTGTTTGAGCAACAATCCTCGCTCAACGCACCTCAGATCGTTCTCCAAAGGCTTTGCCACGACGGTGTCAATAGGCTCCTTCTGCACCTCCTTCCAGTCCCGCAGCAGACGCCGCGTCGCCTGAAGCATAGGGGATTGATGAGAGAGCCAGTCAGAAGCTGCCACGTGGCTTGCCAGTGTGAAGGCAAGTTTGACAGAGTCTTTCTGAGAGAAGCCAGTTCTGAGCAAGCATTTAAAAGCAGGTTCAGAGATATAGAGAATGACAAGCTAGGAAACCTTCAGAGCATCTGCAGCAGCTTTAGGAGACCCTCAGCTCTTAATCAAGACAATGCAGATGTTCATTTGACATTTTCAAGGCACAGGCAGAATGCTGTGCCAAAAGACGAATCAGCTAAGGAAGCAGGGCAGTAGAATGTTTCTGGTGAATTACTCACATACGTATTGCATCTGGCGGGGGGCCTTTCACACCCTCAGGCACCACCCCCCGACGCATTCCTCTGTCCCAAACTGACAGTACTGTCACTCCTTCATAATAAAGCCAGTCCTCTGGATACCTCCAGCCTACTGACCCTATTAGGACGCTTGGACCTTGGCGCACGGGGACGCAGACAGTTGGAGGGAGAAGAGGGGTGGAAGAGACAGAGAGAGAGAGAGGAAGGCAGTAAGGGGAGGAGAAGCGGTAAGGCAGGAGGGGAGATGAGATAGTAGAGACTTTGCAAAAAGGAGGACCGCCGGAAGAGGACAGGAGATGGAAAATGGTTGCAAAGAGTATGGAGGAAACAAAACAAGCAACTCTCCCATCTTTGAACAAGCTCAAGGCCATAAAGCGCTGTTTTCAGCAACGTCACTGAGACAATGCAAGCCTAAAAGTGCTGACACGGTGACCTACTGAAAGATAGGAAGGTTGCCCAGAGCAACTCACCTCCTGGGAGAAATGAACTTGGCTGTTCCTTGCAGAGGCCTCCATTCCCCCTGGAATCTTGACAGGCGCCTTCGGAGCTGTCGCTTGGAGCTCACGCTGCAATTTGCTGAGGCGGCGGAAAAACGGCTTTGATAAAGCTTGAATCAAATTCTGCTGTATGATGTTTTTGAAACAACAGCTCCAAATCCGAGCAGGTTTTAAGGTGCACTCAGCCAGCTTGAGTTGGGAACGCTTGCAGCTCTTTAAGGGCTGTGCTTTGTTGTGCTAGCAGCATTTCAGCAGCACGCAGTCCTACGGGAATGCAGTTCACAACGGTGACGCATCCTCGCCATTGGCCCTTGCATGTGCATTTTGCTCTGTGCACATTGGAAATGGGGGATCCACAATTTGACATGGCTGCAGTCATTCTCGGTACCTACATCATGTCGGGTTTGTGAGTTGAGACCGTCGATATTTTCGAATCGACGGACCTGGCCCGATGCCAGGGGCCGGGTTGCGCAACCGGCGCGTACACCAGCAGTGCTCAGCTTGCTGGCAGGGGGAGTGCTCAGGCGGCCGCGATTGCTTGAGCGCGCCCGCGTCGGCTCCCTTCAGGCCCGCGGGGCCGGCCCGTTCTCACAATGCCAATGCCGGCGCCCTTCAGGCCCCGTCAAGAGATAGTCATGTGCGCCATTCTTTCTTGACTCGAGAATGGAGTCACTCTAAATATGGAAGCACGCAAGTCGTGTGCAACGGGCCGTCCAACTAATTAATTGTTGGAG